GCCTGCTTTAGAGCCCATACCTTTCTATTATAATACCTCTCAATGAAAAATAATCAAAATAGAAAATTATAACTATAAAACAGACTGACAGATTATATTCACTCTCCTTTTGGGCAAATGACTATCTTTAAAGGGCCAATTTAGCTATAGTTTCAAGGAAGAGATAATTCTCAATTTTTAAAATCAGTATTAGAACACCAGGAGATGGGGGGGGGCTGCCTGACTCTTTTAAGGAAGCTGAGGTTACAACTGGGTGGAAGAGAATATGCTTAACATGTACAAAGTTCTTGGTTCAATATGAAAAAACAAAAACAAAAACAAAAGGCAGGGAATGAGTGTTTTGGATTAAAAGACTCAATATTACGAAGATGTCAGATTTCCCAAAACTAATCTTCAGACAATGTAATCGCAAACAAATTTTTCACTGGGTGTGTTAAAAACTGAAATTCCCAGGCTCATCATTTTAGAAGTCATATGGAACAGTGAGCCAAGAAGAGCCCAAGGCATAATAAGGAGAATCATATGACACAAGGAGGAAAAAAAAGCAAAAACTTACCCAGTGGTGATATAGCACATGACTGGAATCCATTTTGGAGGCTGAGGCAGGAGGATCCCAAGTCTTTGAGGAAAGCCTAGCTTACCCAGTGAGACTTTAAAAAGGGGTAGCCCTTTAAAAAGGGCCAGATGTGGTGGTGTATACCTTCAACCCCAACATTCAAGGAGGCAAAGACACCATCTCTATGGGTCTGAACCAGACTGGTCTACATAGGGAGCTCCAGGCCAGCCAGGGCTATGTAGTGAGGCCTGTCTCAATAAAATAAAATAGCACTTTGATTTGTAACAAAAACAACACATTTTAATGGGGGAAGGGATGATGCCAGGCCAACCACATAGCCATATAGAGAAAACATGGCAGATCAATGGTCAAATGAAGCTTTCAGAGAAAAAAAAAAAATGTTTGTAATTTTTAGGGAATGCAAATATTTCCTCGGAGCATTGACCATAAAAGAAAAAAGATTAAGTGGATTTTAATGAATTTAGGAGAGTCTGCTCTTTGAAAGAAGCTATTGAGAGTGCAGAGGCTGCCACTGAGATGGCTGAGTGGGCAAAGGTACTTGCTGCCAAGTCTGAGGGTCTGAGTTTGATTCCGAGGGCCTGCATGGTGGAAGCAGAGAATCAACTCTGGAGAGCTGTCTCCCGACCTCCATGTGTGCACACAGACACACACAGAAATGTAATAAATTTTATTTCAAAAAATGGGCAGAAGCCACATACAGCCTAAGGGATGAGGGGTAGATATACAATTAAGGATTTGTATATATATATATATATATATATATATATATATATATATATATATACACATATATTTGCTGTGGGATGTTCTGTATGGCAAATGTGTTGCTCTGATTGGTTAGTAAATAAAACACTGATTGGCCAGTAGTCAGGCAGGAGGAAGTATAGGCGGGACAAGGAGGAGAAGAATTCTGGGAAGTAGAAGGCTGAGTCAGACACTGCCAGCCGTCATGACAAACAGCATGTGAAGATGCCGGTAAGCCAAGAGCCATGTGGCAAGGTATAGATTTATAGAAATGGATTAATTTAAGATATAAGAACAGTTAGCAAGAAGCCTGGTACGGCCATACAGTTTGTAAGCAATATAAGTCTCTGTGTTTACTTCATTGGGTCTGAGCGGCTGTGGGACTGGTGGGTGAGAGAGATTTGTCCTGACTATGGGCCAGGCATGAAAACTCTAGCTATATATATATATATATATATTTCTTTAATAGTAAGAGAGAACCAATAGAAAACATACTGGCCATTAAACACATCATCAAGCATCTTAAGTTCCATATCCAAGATACAGAAAACCACACACAAATACCAATACACATCTACCAGACTGATACAATGTCTGAAAGGGTGCCGGTAAAGGATGTGGCGCAATAAGACCTCTTAATCACTGCTGACAGGAGTTTGGATAACTGTTATGGAATGATGTTTGACATACCTATGTAAGACAAATATATGTATCTTCTATAATCCAGAATCTCCACTTCTAAGTATATGCCCAACAGAAACATGCTTAACAAAAACACACACTGAAAGATTCTAACACTATTTACAGTAACTTCAAAGCAGAAACTACCCAACGCACATCCTCAGAAGACCTGATTAAAAAGAGCCACATAATCACAGAAATACTGCATCAAAATAAAATGCCTAGGTAATCATATGAATGATTCTCACAAAGCCAGAAGGAAAAAAGAGAGAGAGAGACACACACACACACACAAAGCGTATAAATGAAGCTTCACGGTGGGTGTGTAAAGAGTAAGAGCAGATGAAACTGACTGAGGCTAGTTACTACTGTTCTGAACAGCCGTTATCTTTGGGGTGGGGAATAGTAACTTAAAAACAGCAGAAAGGAGACACTGGTGTCCGTCAGCGATGTTCCATTGATTAGTTGACCATCCATCAATTTGTACACTCTTAGTATGAGCACATTCCTTACGTTATTATCTTGTGTGTGTGACAACGATCAAGAACGTTAACCAGAAGGCTGGGAAAGTACGTCTACAGATAGGATAATGGCAAAGTAATAGATGGATAATTCATGAAGGGGCTGGAGAGATCACGCAGTGGTTAAGAGCACTGATTGTTCTTGCAGAGGACCTGGGATCAATTCCCAGCACCCACATGGTGGGTCACAACTGTTGGTAACTCTTGTAGGGGATCTCATACCCTATTCTGATCTCCAAGAGCACCAAGAACACACGTGGTACATAGACATACATGCAGGCAAAATATCCATACACATGAAATATTAAAACATAAAAGGAATGTGCTGCCGAGTAAGACAAAACCAAAACAATTCATGAAAATCAACTTTTCAGAAGCTAGGCTGAGAATGTAGCATGCTTATTAAGCATGGGCAAGCCCTGGGTTCAATCCCTAGCACCCAAATCGTAAATACATAATTTTTAAATGGCTGCTAAATCTATAAATGTAAATCTAAGCAATATAATGTTATCACTGTGGGGCATGATGGGATACACTATAATCCCAGGTACTCAGGAGGCTGAGATGAGAGAGTGGGAAGATCAAGACCAGCTTGGATTATAAGACCCTTTCTCTCCCTCCCCCACCCCCCCAAAGTGGGGAGGGGACAAGATTAACAAGAAATTTAAATTTAAGTAAAAATATATTCAAAACTCTGTGGTATAACAAATGTTAAAAATGTTTTTTTTTTTAAATCACACAAACATAGTCATATGTTTGAACAGGAAAAAAATATCAAAAAACTTTTTTTTTCTTGATCTTTTATAACAAAATGTTTTGTTGTGAGACAGGGTCCCTCATATCTCCAACTCACTGAGTAGCTACTAACTTGGAAGTTTCTACGATGGTCCTACAGCTGCCTTTTGAGAGCTAGAATTACAGGCGTATATACACCACCCTAACAGGTTTATGTGGTGCTGGGTATTGAACCAGGGGACCTGTTGTACGCTGGGGGCAAGTCCTCTCTCTACCAAGGAACTCATGCTCAGCCCAACACAATGTTTTGTTTTTTGGTTTTCTTTTAACAAAAAACAAAAAACATTCTATCCAGAAATCAAAGAAAATAGGGCAAAAAAAAAAAATTCAGCCACCTACTTTTGCCTCCCTTTTATCCCCCACATTCACTCTGTAGCCATTCCCTCATTTTTTTTTATTAGAAATGACTGTCCAAGTCATGATTTTATTAATTTTTCTTTGATTTCCAAAGTGTATGCTTTTGTTTTCTCTACTGAAGTCCTTATACCTAGACCCTTCATTATAGCAAAATAATCATATTTCCCACTTAGAGATCATATCCACATAAAATCATTTTATATGGCAGCTCTCTGTACTCCGGCCCTCAAACTGCACATTAAATATTGTCACCCCACCCCGATCCTTGGCATACTCAAAATCCTTTTCCTGCAGTACATTTTCTCCCATCCATCTTTCTAATTTCATTCATGGTTGACGAGTTTTCTAGGGTATCATTTGCTGGGTATAGTTTTTTTAAAGTGCTAAGAACAGACAACGGTTTCCAAAATGAGCCTTCCATTGACAGTTAGTACATATGTCAACATTCACATTCTATAGTATGCCTCACTCTCCCATTGTACAGCACGGGGGATTTCTTTTCTCTTTCTTGTCTTAATATCCTAAAATCTAGTTGGCTGAGGGAAAGTAAGGCATACATATTCAGAACCTACATTCCCATTCCAGGGTGTGGGTTTTGACCTGCCTGCTGGGAAAAAAAAAAATGGCATTAAAAACACCAGACTTTATTTTTTTAATTCAAGATGGCAGAGACATCCTAAAATAGTCCTACACAAAAGCATTCACACCCAGACCAGAGCTTCCATTCAGAACTGGCTACACCTAGCGCAACAGCAAGGACAAAAGAATGGAACGGTAGGTGCTGAGATGCCGGAGCCCTCATCATTGGCCACAGGTCTCAACACTCTCTAACAGATCGTAAACCCAGAGAGGAAGCTGGCACCTGCTGCCCGCATTCCAAAGGCCACGCCTCGACGATGCCTAGGATGATGATAACCGGAGGCACTCCTGGATGCAGACCCGCAAAAATCAAGGCTTGAAAGGGAGGAGGTTAAGTAGTAGAGAGAGTACCGGGCACGTTTCGGCCCCGCCCCAGCGAGGCGCAGTCCCGGGCGGTGCAGCCATCGGGTACGGGTAGAACCGGGCTCGCAAGGGCCGGCCAACAGTGCAAGCTCTGGGCATGCTGGTTGAGCCTGGGGGCAGCGGCCAGCGCCGACAGGACCCCGCGGGCTACACCTGTCGGGCGGCTGCAGCCAGCAGGCCCCGAAAGAGCGAGGGACCGGTGACCCAGGCCCGCAGGCGCGCGCCGCCCGATCCCTCCCCAGCCGAGTCGCTTTGCCTCCGCGCTTCGCCTCTCCTCTGTCTTCAACAAAGGCGGTCCCCGCTCCCCGCCATTGTCTCCTCACCTCAAACACCACCTCTTCGTCAAACTCCGGTGTCATCCTTCTCCGCCATACCACCCGCCTCAGCACGATGGGAAATGAAGGAAGGAGGGCAGGCAGCAACACAGGCTTCTGCTCCTGCCCACCTCTGGGGGAGCGCTGAAAACTACAACTCCCGGTATGCTTCGCGGCGCACGCCCTCCCCTTCCGAGCTGCTGATTGGAGCAGAGGGGGAGCGTGTCGGCCTGGAGGGGCGGGAGCGGGCGGGTGTTCCTGAGCTCCTATTGGAGAGAGCGATGGCTTTTGTCTGCCTTTTACATCCCGGGACTACCAGGGGGCGCCCGGAGCGCGGATTTTTTTTTTTTTTTCCTCCCTTCGGACTTAAGGAGGGGCGCGCGTCCGCGAAGCCGCTGCGAGCTCGCGCCCCCGTGCGCGCGCCCCGGCGGTCGTCCCGCAGCGCGGCGGAGCGGCGCTCGTGCTCGTCGTCCTGTCGCCGGCCGCTGGCGCCCCGGGGACGCCGGAGGGTCGCGGGGAGCCCGGGGCGTCCGTCCTTTGTGAGGGTGCGGGACGGAATGTGGGCGCCGCGGAGGAGTTTCCTCTCCGGCTGGAACTCCGGGGCGTGTGGACCGACCGGGAGCCATGGACTGAGGGCGTGAGCGGCGCGGCGCGGGGCAGTCATGACTTCTGCCGCCGGTAAGTGGCCGCGCTCGCACCGGGCTGGGAAGTTAGTTGCTGCGGGCGAGCCGGCGGGCTCGGGCTCCCGCTGTCTTCCACCTTCCCCCCCACCGGGTGGCCGCTGCGGGGCTGGCGCCGGTCGCCTGGCGCCGATCGCCTGGCGCCGATCGTGGGGTCTCTTCCCGAACCCCGGGATCTCCGCCTCTTTGAACCCAGGTGAAGCGACGGCGACGCGGCGCTTGCTCCGGGGCTTAGGCGAGGTCGCCTGTGCGCGGTGCGGGAAGCTTGGAGTCGGATGCGGGAAGCTTGGAGTCGGATGCGGAGGAGTCGGTTATTCTAAACTAGGACAGTTTTCCAGAGTTGAACTAATTCCGCTGCTAGCCTGGGTTGCTTTTGAAAACCTAGTCTTTATGGATTGCAACTCTTCGCAATGTGTAAGGAAGTTTAAACTGAGCTGGTCAGACCCTGATGCTTTAAGTTCTATTACCTGAGGAATAAAGCGCACTGTTAGATGGCAAGAAGACAAAAAACAACCGCCCCCAACCAATAAGCAAACCCCCTCCCCGACAAACAAAAACCCCACCCCTTTTTTTCTTTTCTTCACCTTTTCTTAACTTTGTTTTTTCCCTACTCGTACCCCGACAGTGTAAACAAAGCCCTCTTTTCTGTCTGCCTCCTTCCCACTCACCCAAATGACAAAGCCTCCGCTTACCTTTGTGTAAATTGAAGCATTTCTGGTCATTGTATTGAGAAACATTCTTAAGGGGCAATTTTTATTTTCCAGACTTTAAGTGCCCAAGTGACGTTACGGACCTTTTTCTAAGAACGTAGCTTATTTTTAAGATCAGAATTTAATAAGGTATGGAATATTTTGAAAACATCTTTATCCACATTCGAAGAGACTTCGATGAGGAATTTCGTAGTAAAATAGTTTCAGGCGTCACTTCAGTTACGTCTAGAATAAGCACTGGAGTATCAGATTAAATTTTCTTTGCTTGCTTTGGCGTTTGTTTAAAATTCCTGCAACTTGAAACTGTCAAAGAGCACACCAAATGTTCTGATTTGTACTTCTGAAGCCTTGGAATAGTCCCTGCTAGGCATCATCAGCTTTCATTAAACAAGCCAGAACTCAGGCACTAGGAAAGCAAGAGGCTGGAGTATTCACCGTAGAAAGTGTAGATCTTCTCTCTTTGATGTTATGTGTATTCATTCATGTGGTCATCATGCACTGTGAGAGTCATTTACAAACGTTTCTTTCTTGTTTTTTTTTTTTTAATTTAGAGGGGGTGGGGTTCCACGTACACTGTGGATTGTTTTTAGCCTAACTTTCTGCGCCTCACCTTCATTCAACTGTATTTAAGTTGCTGAATTAATATAATTAATTTACATTCAAATAAACATTTAAAAAATTTATTAATTGAAATGTCTAGGATTCAAATCTGGAAGTTTATGATTGTTTTCATTCGAATTACACTGGAATAAGGCAAGCTATTTTTATACTTATCAACTTTACAATTAAGGAAATCCACAGCATTTTTGTGGTATTTAAAAGCGAGACACTTCCTGTGTCTAGCTGAGTTAGTTTTTTTTCTTTTTTTTTAAAGCATGGCTTGCTAAGAAACATTAACTACTTTTTTGCTCATCCATCTGATGAGATTTATTATAATTTTTTCTTATGTCTAGGGGGTGTGGAAGAAGACTGAGGTTTTTTTTCCCACCCCTCTGTGACAAAGTTACATATACGTTGTCCTCGCGAGCTATGTGTATGTGGGTCAGAACAATGAAGTTTATTAAACCTGGGGGGAAAGTTACTCATGGAGTACAGAGTGTTTTTAAGTCTATTCCAGTGTACTTGGGAAGGTTGGCCTTATTTAAGATTAGGGGCTGTTGTACAGCGTTGGAGTCATATGTGCCCTGAAGAAGAGCTCACTTTGGTTTTTTTCTGCAGCTGTTAAAGAGTGAGCTCATAGAAGAGAGTTTGGAAGTATTCTAAGTAGTATATGAAAAAAAAAAGGAGATAGACCATCCATCCATCCATCCATCCATCCATCCATCTACCTACCTACCTGCCTATCATCTGTCTTCCATCATTGTGTGTATATACATTTCACAATTTCCTTAATGCCTGTGCTTTTTTGCATCTGGGCTGTTGGAATAGCCAAGAGAGTAAGTGTACGCATGAGCCAGACCCACCTGTGTGTAGCAGATGACGAGTCTGTTTAGGACAGGAAAATGGTACTGACACTCTACTTCTCTACCTTAGACGTCCCTGGAGCCAAACAGCTGTGTAAACAAAAGATTTGCTGCACTGCTCCAGAGAAGCATTTGGGTCTGATTGTTAACACAGTGTCAAGATCGAGAGGTGCGCGATCCATTTCCAAACTTTGCGTACCGATTTCAAGGTTTCACATCGGAGTAGATCACAGTAGAACGTCTCGCTCGTGTTGTTTTTAGCCGTGTTTGTTTTAGAATAGAGCCATTAAAAATAACGAGGGCCAGTGAGAGATGTTCACTGGGGTGGGCTCTTGCTGGCAAGCTTCGTGACCCGGGTTTGATCCCTGGGATCCACACAATGAAAGTGGTCATCTAACACGTGTGTGCTATGGAATACACAGTGACCCCCTCCCATGCACACAAATAAAATATAATTTAAAAAATACTAATGAAGCTGACATGGTATTAGAGAGGGTGAGCCAGGAAGACTGCAGTTCGCGGATATGCAGGGCTACACTGCAAAGCCTATCTCCGAAAACTAAAAAAGAAATCATTGTAAGGAAAGATTTTTTTGTATATTGCTGTACCAGTGACTTGGCAAACACTTGTTCCTATTAGTCATTAAGGAATTATACAATAATCCTATCCTGCTCCCTTTTCAAAACATCATTTTTTTTAAAGATTTGTTTTGAAGTGTGTGTGTGTGTGTGTGTGTGTGTGTGTGTGTGTGGTGGGTAGAGGTTTGTGCATGTATGAACACAGTTGCCAACAGAGTTCAAAAGAAGTTCTTGGATTCCCCTAGAACTGGAGTTACAGTCAATTGTAGAACCCTCTCCGACTCTCTCCATCCCCTAATCCCTGACCTGTTCACATGGGTGCTGGGAACTGAACTCAGGTCTTCTATAAAAACAGTCTTCATTATACTCTTAACCACTGAGCCGGCTCATTAGCCTTCAGCACACCATTTGGTGTTAAGTTGCATATTGAAGGTAATAATTTTCTGTCACAGAGGACACATTGTGTCCTATACATGGCAGCTGTCCATTCTCAGGCCCCTTTTCAGCGCTGGGAACACGATGAATAAGACCATGAATAAGCTGAACTCTTTGAGTTATATTATTGACTTCTTCCACTTGAATACACAGGTAACTAACCATAGTAAGTCCAAGTTCACAGTTAGTTAATGAGTATGCATGCGTTGCAGGCTTTAGAACATAATGCTGTACTGTGTTTCCTGGGAGTCAGCCTTGGTTCACATGCACTTACCTTGCTTCCTGTGACATTAAGAGAGAACAGAAATTTGTCTCTTGCAAGCAGACTCAAAGGAAGGACTGGAATTTGTTGGGGTGCATTGTGTAGCACTGGTCGGTTGAAGAGAGAAGGCATCCAAGATGAAATTTTAAGGCCTATGTGGCAGCAGGAAGGTCCAGCCTCTTCTGATGGACTGAACCCTGAACAGCCCTACAAAGGCGTATTTATTGATTATTACACAAAGTATTTCTTCATACCATGGTCCCTAATCTTAATGTACATGTCTTACTGAAGGAGAGCATCATATGCCTCCATGACTCTAGTCCTTTATTATGTATGTATCATGTACAATACACAATAATACAAGAGCCTCAAGTGTGCCTGAGGGGTCTTGTGACCAAAGTCATGGGATGGCTGCAAAGCCCTTTCAGCAAAACAATTCTGTAGATCACAGGAAACAGTCACTCTTTTCTACAAGGATTCTTCAAGGTTGTCGTACTTCTAAAAAAAAAAAAAAAAAAAAAAAAAACCACAGTTGTTCTTTCCCATATCTACCCCATACAATGATTCTACTAAATTCCTACAACAGAAATTGCTACTAGAGATTAACTATGATTTAGGGAGGGTGAGGCAATAGTGTTAGAATTATTGCGTGGGGAGACCCCCAAGAGGATCCTGAGAATGCAGGGAACCATGCTGGCATGCTGGGCAGATGCAGTGCGGGCTGGTAGGCGACCCACTCCATGAGGGCATGGCAGCAGGCCGGCGGGTGGACATTCACAGCCCAGAGGCTACATCCATGTGGAAATGTTTATTATAATAGAGAGACAAAGAGAAGATAAGGGGCCGGGGGTCAAGGGGTGCACACCTCCTGGGAGGGGCGGAGTTTTTCCTTGAGAGGAGTCTTCTAAGTCAGGACACAAGGCGGCCCCAAGGGGCGGGATTAGAGTATTAACATTTAGGATGGAAGGAAGGGCTAAAATTGGTACTAGCAAGTAATAAAATGCTTTTGGGAGGCTGAGCTGGAGGAT